CTTCACGGGATCGCCTTCAGGAATAGCGGATGTCGACAGCATTCTCTGTTCCGCGTTGAACGGAGAGGAGACATTTCGCCATTCGGACGTGTTCCGAAAAGTGAAATGTCTCCATGTTGACGACATCATCTTTGCCGCACTGGGAGGGGAGGAATGTTTCGATCATTCCTCCCTTTTCCAACGAGTGGGATCCTCTCGTTCGGTGTGGGCAAGGATGCAAACGAAAAAGCGTCGCTTCGTAAGAGATGCGAACGATTTTTTCCTTTGCTATTTCTGAAGGATATTACTAACCTAGGATAAGAAGGCAAGAGGTTTTTTTTTCGTTTGTTTTTTCCTCTTGTCATACTTATATTTACTAATTTAGGATAAGAAGGCAAGAGGTTTTTTATTTTTTTTCCTCTTGTCATACATTCAAACTAAAACCTTAAATTTAATTTACTAATCTAGATGTAAGAAGACAAGGGGTTTTTATTTTTTTTCTACTTGTCGTACTCACACTAATTTAGTAATTCATATCCACGAACATAAACAACAACATCCCTCACGCTGAAACACACAGTTCAAACAACGACTCGTTTAAAAAGCTCAAATATCCGAAAATTGGTAATTATTTAAAGAAATTTAATTTTATATTTGGTTAAAAGAAACGACTCAAAAAGTCTTAATATTGAGGTACAAATTTTATCTATGTGGTGGCCTAACTAAGATTTTGCTCTGGAGATGATTTAGGACAGGGGTCAGCCACATGCGGCTCTTTGGATGTGAAGCTGCGGCTCTTTAGTTCCATACGCAAATATTATTTATTTTATAAAAAAAAAAACATTTAAAAATCGTTCTGAATCGATTAACGAGGATTGGGCACTGATTCTATCTCTCAGTCAATTGTACTCGCTTTTCACCACACCCCTCCCCCGTGACACGCGTTTTCACTGTCGTCAGTCCGTCGGAAGCTTTCGAATGACGCCGTCGTTGGATGTTTCTATGAGGTTTAATTCGCTTTCGACGCAAGACAATTTTTCTTATGAATAAATGGATTAGTTTTTTTTTATCAAAAAACTTTATTTATGCGAGTACTATTTATTGTTGGCAAGAAAAAATTTTGTGGCTCTTTAAAAACTTTGAAATTTTGTAAATTGTAATTTTTGGCTCTTCCGACTCAAAAGGTTGCCGACCCCTG